CGCCGGTCCGTCTTCGCCTTCGGTCTTCGCTTAAAAAGTTGAGACGCCGGCCATCCATCCGGAGTTCATGGAGCTGGGATTTCTGCTCTTGCTTGGACTTACCGTTCTCTCGAGGACAGGTAAAAAGAGATCGCCGGGCCGAAGAGATGCTTTAAAATAAAGAAACAAACACACAGAATCTTTGAGCTGAAAAGCCCCAGGAATCATTCTTCTCAAGATAGCCAGACCGAGAAACAAACCCAAGAAACAAACCCCTCCACCCCACCCGCTAAAGTCCCATGTAATTAATGCACGGGGGCGGGGGGGGGTGTTTAGGTCTGCCGAGAAGACCTTTTGGGAAAGGCGAAAGTTGGGCAGAAGATGCACAGATGGCTAGACCTGTAGCTAGCCATTTGGGCACCCCTGGCAACGGGCAACATTTCCCACCCATTTTGCCGACCTCCCCCCCCTCGGAAAAGAAATGTGGGGGGTCTCTCTAAATATATATCATAAATATATATCATCTCTACATTTTGGTTGTCTAATAATACCCAGGCCCTGGTTGTTGGTATTGTGCTGTCAAGTCGGTTCAGATGTAAAATACCCCTTTTTAGTGTTTTCGAGGAGGTGTGTGAGATGTTCAAAGAGTGGGCACCCATGGCCACCCCTTTGGGAGTGATCAAGGCCAAGTGGGAATTTGAACCCAGGGCTCCAAAGTTGTAGCCCAGTGCCCTTGTCCTCTGCACCGCACCGGCTCTCACCCTGCAGGTAGATCTTCGGATAATTTTGTGTTCGATCAGCAGTGGTGTCTGGCTGCTGTTGCGACAACTGTAAGAACTGATCCGCCTTCAAGGTTAGGCTGATAAAAAAGTAATGCCTGGAGGAAAGACAGGGGTGGATGTTTGAGGAAAAGTGTTTCTGTGAAGTTGGTTCGGATACTGGTCACAGATGCCTAGAATGAGTGTTACCTCTTCAGAGGTATTTCATAGCATCTCAACTCCACCCATGCCGAAGCAACTGACTTCTACCTGGTTCTTTTGGTAGATGTTAGGATTCTGATTTTAAAAAACAAAGCTCCTGCAAGCTTGAAGTCTGTCCAGCTTTCTTGCAAATCTCATGGCAGTTGAGGCCTCCTACTCTTGAGGAGATCTGGCAGTTCTCAGTAAACAGCACTGTTGTTATTAATGTGATAAAATTAACACTACTGTATATGGCTTTGATGTCTGAAAAAACAAAGTGTTCTACAGTGCAAAGATGTTACCTAAACAGGAACAAAGTTTTGACTTTAGGCAAGTAACATCTGAATTAAAACCTATATAACTGCCTTCTCTAAAAACTATTTGGCAGCACAAGTGACAAACACACCTTTCCACCCATATTAAGATTTCATTAAATGAAATACAGTACAGTACTTGGAATTTCCTCCAGGCTGAAGCAAACTTTTGAGTTTTCTTAGAAGTAGTAGAGGCGTGTTTTGTACCTTTTTTTGGTACAGTTGTGTGAATTCAGTGCAGAACGATAAAAAAACTGCTTTCTTATGTGATGTGGTGTTCTCTGCAACTCCTTCAAGACTCCCAGATGTTCTAAAAAATGAAACAACAAAACCCTTTCTGTGATTTTAATCTGGGAGGGGCAGGATGATAGCCAAAGGGTGGAGGTACATTTGATGTAAACGCTTTGAATCGTTCAGTGTTAGCTGCTACTTCCCTTTTTATGTCACTTGGTTCAGTGCCTGCTAGGTAACTGATTTTATCCATGGAGGTTGGCTTTAGGGCACACAATAGTGATTCCACAGTTCTTATGGAGTGCTACATATACCTGTTCGGCTTGGACTGAACTGTACCACACCAGGCTGGCATATTTGGCTGCATAGTAGCATAAGGGCATTTGTTAACAGATTAGATATTTTTATATATAGGTTTTGTATTTCTTTTGTCTTGTCGTCCTCCATTTACTCAGCTGCCTTCTTATTGACTAATTGATGAACTAGTGCAGCTATTAAATAACAAGTGGGAAAATCTAGGTTATTTTGGCATAAATCTTTATTTTTTTTCTGTATTAGAGTGTGGCTTAATTTAAAATTCCGGATGTATATGAAATATAGGTAAAATAAAGTGTTAGAAATTATGGTTATTTGTGCTCCTAAAAGGACCTTTGGGTCATTTCGCTTATCAGCAAGTTTGCAGTGCAGTTCTTCTAGACAGGAAGGATTGGCTGGCTGGTCACTGTGTGCACTCGCAAGGCTATCCGCTCTTCAAGGAGTCTCCTTCTCTGTCCCCTTTGGCATAAATGCCTCTTGCTATTGCAGCTGTAATTCTCGTTGTTCCAAACGCATGCATCCCCCCCCCAAAATTTATTTTAAAATCACATATTAAGGTTCATGTTGTTAAAGGTGGTTTCAAAGAAGCGTTAGTCTGCTCCAGCAGGCATAACAAACAAGCAAACGAACAAACAAAAGAGAAAAGAAACAAAATCCTGCGACATCTTTAGGATTAACGGGTTTATTTTACAGTGAGCTTTCATGGATTGTGATCTGCTTCTTCAGATGTAGGGCGTGCTATATTAATACCACGCTCCAGATGCATTAAGTACATTATTACCCTTGGGGTTGTGGTTCTGGGGTGAGATCAGAGCAAAGCAGCATATGGAAAAAGGATAATTGCATTATTAACATTGGTAATGATACCAGCTATTGACAAACAGTTTATGCTAACTGTGATATTGGTTGTTCACTGTGCTCTGTCATGGATCTAAGTTGTCTTTTAGTATTTCTACACATGTTGCTCATTTGCTTCTGGCCCACTCTAAAGTAAATGAACCTTTCTGATTCAGTGTGTTTTTTCCCCTTGTCTCCTTGACCTGCAGGCTTCTCGTCGCCCGTCTCTCATTCCCTGCTGCCTCCCCGTGGAGGTAGCAATAGCAGCAACAGCAGCGGGCTGAAGTTTCGGGGGCTCCAGGAGCAAGTCCACAAAGCAACCGAGATGAAGTTCATGGCAGGAGGGTCACTGCCAGCCGGCAGCACCAGGGTGGATAAAGTGGCTGGTCCAGAGGACGTGCACCGCAGAGATAAGCGTTGCACTTGTTACACCTACAAAGATAAGGAATGCGTTTATTACTGCCATTTGGACATCATCTGGATCAACACCCCAGAGTGAGTGGGGAAATAAAGCCTCCATCCTGGGTTGGGGAAAGGGGATTAGTGCAAAATCCGTCTCTTTCCCAAATAGTAGCCATTTAATCCCAATTGAGTGTAAGCTTTCAAAGATACTTTGCTCCTGTGTCGTAGACATGTCAGAAAGAATAGAGTTTTAATCTGGGAGCTGAGTCATGGCAATTTTTTTTTAAAATTAGGTTGAAATGTTTCACTACTCATCCCAAGTAACTTCTTCAGTCTGTCTCCTTGACGTGCAGGCTTCTCATTGCCCTGCTCTCATCTGTCTGTTTGGATGAGTAGTGAAATGTTTCAACCTAATAAGAGAGAAGATCCGTTGCCATGACTCAAGTTCCAGATGACCTCACCTGGAAGACTGAGAATCTTCACAGATGTATCGTTTTAACATTCATTTGCAGAGAAAGTAGATCTCTGAGTGCCAGATGCTGGAGATGTAGGCATGCAGGCTAATAGGGAGAGCTGCAGCTTTTTCTTCTTGCCCCACTAGAGGGCAGTGTATTTTGTCATGCTATAACTGGATGGTTTTGCTCAGGTTGTGTAACGTGCTAGTTGCGTAACTTGCACAGCTTGCATGGAACTATGATAGGTTCTGCTTGGACTTCCATGGACTTCTAAGAATAAGAATATTGGATTTTTTTTCATCTGTGGTTAGATGAATCTTCTGTGCCGATAAGGAAAAAGTACTTCATATCCCCGTCTTGTACAGGAGGGGAGGAACTGTCGGGTGTCTCTTGGTGTCAATATGGCCTATGTTGATGAGAAGGAAGAATTTAGCATATACTTTGCCCATCCTTGTTGATAAAATAAAGTGTGTGGGTGGGTGCGGGTGTGCTTTCCCTAAAGCGCTATGCTTGGAAATGTAATTCTGGGTCAGGTTGACATGTGGGCTAAGTCAAAGAAGCAAATAATTGTAAGTCAAGAAGATCCTGAGATTTCAAAATAATGTATAACAATAATCTTTAAAAAAATTTAAATAAAGACAAGATGTAGTATTTTTGTCATCCATGATATTGATAGTAGGGTGGAATAGATAGGGAAGGCTCGCTCAAAAGCATACGTTTTAGCCTGTTTGTAACACCAAATTTTGGGATGTTGTCAAATATGTGGGAGATGTTGAATTTCTGGGGGAAGATTATCATGCATAGTGGGTGAGGATGACAGTGATGGTAATAACAATAGGTACAAATGAGATTGCGATATGCTAAGTGCAGAGAGCTGTTTTACTTGGAACGATACATATTTTCAGAAAATGCCTGCAAATATCCTAAGTCTTTGGGAATGGCCTGATATTCAAGGAACTAAATCCAGTTTATTCGTGATGGGCGGCGTAAAATGATAATAGAGATAATGAGAATGATTCGTAGTAATAAGAACAGGAATAATGAATGCTCCATCAAATTGATTCTGACTTTTCATGGTTTTCTACTGTGTTTCCCTGAAAACGAGACAGGGTCTTATATTAGTTTTTGCTCCAAAAATGCATTAGGGCTTATTTTCAGGGGATGCTTAATTTTTTTTATTGTACAACACTCTACATTTATTCAAATAGAATCATGTCCTCCTCTTTTGGTTCCTGCACAATGGTGGAGGGTGGGGTTTCACTTCATTGGAGCTTATTTTGGGGGATAGGGCTTATATTACGAGCATCCTGAAAAATCGTACTAGGTCTTATCTTAAGGTTAGGTCTTATTTTCGGGGAAACAGGGTAGGTATAGAGTATTCAGGAGTGGTTTAGCATTTCTGCCTTCTTGAGGTGCCCTGGGACTGTGCAGCTTGCCCAAGGCCACACAGGCTGGCTTCTCTCTTGGGATGCAGACTGGGGCATCGAACATCCATCCAACCTTGGCCCTTGTGTAGTAGGTGCCATCACATCAAATGCCTCTGAATGACTGTGAGGTGTACCTCAGGTATGTGTGACACTGCAGGAAGGCCTTTACAGGTCGCTTGGAGGAAGAAATGGGTTAACAAGGGAGAAGGGGGCTTCTCAGATAACTGAGCTACTTTTACAGGAAAGGTTCCTAGGACTGCATGAAAAAAAAGTGCTATTCCATTTTTTCCTTTTTAATTATCTTTTTTTTTAACGAGGAAAGAAAAAGAACAGATTTTAAACCACAAGAAGATTAGAAGAGATAGTTCTCTGAATTGCTGCTTCCCCCCCACCCCAGGGTAAAATTATTTTAATGAGATGGCACAATGGCATGGTGAAACATTTATTTGGAAGCATGCTTGGCCTCGTCTCGTGAGGTTTCTGCTACATGAAACAGTGCAGTACATGCCTCTGAAAAGGGAAAGCACCCCAGCCATTTCTTAAACCACCCCATGCCTCCTTAGGGGAAACATCAGCAAACAGTTAGTAATTTTCTAGTGGCCAAAATACTAGTTTGTCCTGATTGCATCTCCAGTGTGGTATACATAGTAGTAATTGTGCACTGCAAATACTGCTTTCCAGCCCGTAAGGCATCAGCCGGATACTGAGTGCCTCAAGCAAGAAACAGAAGCTGATAAGGTGAGCCGCACTAGCAGAGTCTTCAGCCGAGAAACAGATGAGTAAATGATCAGTGTGATAGTGCTGCTTGATCAAGCAGAGGCAAGTGTCAGAAAAGAAGGCAGGCAAGTAATAGTGGCATTGGCTAATTCTTTTTAGCCCACATGTGTGAGGACGAGCTAAGATTTATTGGCCAGCTACTGTGCGGTTCATTCTGCCTGTGAGGGAGCCTCAACCTTGTCTGCACTGTGGCTTGGAGAAAATAAGAATAACCATATGCACGTCTCCCAGTGGACCCAGTTGCTCCCATAAATGAAGAGAAGTTTCCTGCAGCTGGATATCTGGCATGATGAGAAAGGATTGTAGCATAGGGCTCGGTCCCACCGACAATCCTCCCCCTTTTATGCCGGGTTGGGCTGAAAACAACCTGATTTAGATTTTAGCTTACACACAAGGCACATGTACGTGTCAACTACGGTGCCAGGGGAGTGAGTTTTTCTGCTTCTCTAGCAGAGATCAGTTTGTTTCGAGGTGCATATGGAATTGATTCCATATGCATGTATGCCCCTGCCTGCTTTTTTTTAAAAAAAACCCTTTCTATCTGATACAACACTATACCAACTAGCAAAAATGTTTTAAAGCACCATGCTTGCCTCCCCTCTTCCTGCCCAATCCCCATCCCAGTATGATTGCTCCCCTTTTGCCCACCGGATCACCCCCCACTAGCTGCAACACCCCCCATTGCCTATCCGATTGCATCTTGCGGCCAGCTGGAGCCCCCTACCACCTGCACAGTTGCCCCCTGCCAGTCTCATTGCTCCCAGTCTGCCCAACTGCCCCCATTGCCCATCCACTCCCCCCACCAGCCAGATCCCCCATTGCAATCCCGATCTCCCCACCCCACCCCATTGCCTGTCTGATTGTCTATCTGATTCCCCCCCCAGCCAGCCAGATCCCCCCCCATTGCAAACCTGATCAGCCCTCCACTGCCCATGACTTACCTTTCTTTTTTGACAGGTGGCTGTGGGGTGTGTGGATGCACACACCAACACAAAACGTTAGTCTTCGGGCTAAAGGCCACGTAACCTTAGCATGAATCGAAATGTTTGCTGGTTTATTCTGGCAATGGAGATCTGGCCTTAGTTTTCTTCCTGGTCTTTGTACTAGTTTTCTGCGTACGGAGAAGTTTCTTTCTCAATGAAAGTAGCATGGTGTTCCTTTTTACTACAAAGGTTGCATATAGGTTTTTGTTTCTATCCTTAAAAGTAACCTTCTTGTTAAGATCCAACATGCATCAATTCCTGACCACGATGTATGACTGTTAGAGTAAAAAGTATAGTCTTTTGTCTTTGGGTAACACATCCTCCAGGCATCTATGATATTTACCGTACTTCTTCCGCCATTTGCAGAAAATTTATTGAGATCGTTCCTCTCTCAAAAAGTAAGATTCCTAAGTTTCAGGGGCAAATCTGTCCATCCTGCCCCCTCCCCCCAAAATGTCCTTTCTCTCAGATTTAGGAAGAAATGTGTTGATTCTGAGAAGGTCTTGTTGAAAATGAACAAAATTTTTCCCACATCTCCATCCGTCAAAGCTTTGTAGCTTCCTGCAGTGTTAGTGCTAAAGACAAGGGATTTGCATGAAATGCCACTGAAAACAAAACATAGGTGGAAAATACATAAATATTTTTAAATGGTGGAAGTTGGATGACCAAAGTGATCAAAACAATCAAGATACAAGATAAATATTCAAAGCCAGACTTTTAAGAGATAAGTGCACTCAAAAACTTGAGATTGGATGAGCAAATCTGGCCATTTATTCTTTTCAAACATACAGTATTATTATTTCTATATTTTCTCTCTCATTATCTTTCTGGCATATGAGGAAGTCTACTAGTTTGGAGAAATTCATGCCAAGAAATGACCCAAACAAAATTCTGATTTGGCCTATGTGTGACTCAGTCTCACAGCTGGAGAAAAATCAGTTTTTGGATAAATCATCTAGGGCAACGGTCCCCAACCTTTTTAGCCCTACAGACCACCTGGGGAAGGCAGGGCAGCCCCCTGTGCTTGCGCACATGCGTGGAGTAGCACGTGTGCACTCATGTGCATGTACAAAGGAGTGGGGGCGCTTGTGCAGGTGCATGCATGCTCATGCGCATGTGCAAAGGGTGGTGCAGCGCTTGAGCGGGTGCTCATGCGCCTCTGTAAAGGGTGGCATGGCGCTCAGGGGCACTCGTGCACATGTGCAAAGGGGTGCGGGAGTGCTCATGTGGGCGTAGGCACGCACGCAGGCACAAACAGACTGTGGTGGGAGTGTGTGCGGGGCTGGGGGAGGTCTGTCTCCGCGGTGCGGTCCGGCTTAGGCCAAGGACTGGCACCTGGCCACGGACCAGGGTTTGGGGACCTCTGATCTAGGGGATTCCCTTTGAGCCTAAGAGCCAGTCCCTGCATATGCAGGCACCATAACACTGTTGTTTGTTCTGAAGTTTAAAAG